AATCACAAAAAGTGTAATTGATGTTTTGTGGGATCCGAACTCACACTTCGTCAATTATGTGGTCAACACTTAATGCATCGCGCTACCCGTTCTTTTACTAATACATGTGAAATTGCGGTACGGGTTGTTCGTTGATAACAAATAAAAGTTCGTTAAACAGATTTAAAATTGTTCTGTAGTTCAAAGTCCATTCTTTTTGTTTAATGATGAACGCTGTTTTTTTTCGTTTTTGTTGCATTGTATCACTTTTTTTCACTTTGTCACTTATAACACTAATTGTTTATTTTAATTAGTATACATTACACTTTGAGCACATTATTTGAGTTTTATTAGAATTAATATTGCCTTTCACTGTTGAAGTTTTTTTTGTGTTTTTTTTGTTTGTTTTTATTTGAATCAATAGATAACATTATCACTAATAGTCTACTCGTATGTCCTTATCCACTCAATGAACTACACATAATACATATATAATCACGTTTAGTAGTTTTAAACGATAAAATATACAGAGGTAAATTTAACACGTCTTATACTGACGGCGCCCCATAGCGCATCAATATACGATATACGCGATAAAATACGCAAAGAGATGCAACATCTCTTCGCAGTCCCAGTGAATCAAGCCGATCGAAAAGCACGCGGTTGTTGACGATTTTAGCCGCTCTGCGCTGGATGCGGTCAAGTGGAAGAAGTTGGTACTGGGGAGCCCCGGCCCTGAGATGGGAACAGTATTCCATGTGCGACCGAACCTGCGCCTTGTAAAGTTGCAGGCGGTGTGCCGGCATGAAATACAGTCACTAAGCTTTTTAGAGGCCAATTTGGTCTTCTCTTCAAAGTGACCACGAAACTTCACGTCACTCGATATGTCAACACCAAAGATTCCGATACTGGCTGAGGCAACAAGGGTAGTGCCTCGAAACTGAGGAGATACGACAAAGGGGTTCTTTTACGTGCAAACTAGTGTCTTCTGAGGGTTAAACTGGACTAGATTTAGTCTCCCCAGTCCGAGACTTTGTTCAGCAAAGACTCGACTTCAGACACAAGTTTGTGCCGGTACTCGGCGACGTTTTCTCGAGAAATTTTGGCATGGCCGGTGTACAGAGCACCACCAGTGCTGTCATCTGCATAGCAATGAATGTTACTAGTTTGCAACATATCATTGATATGCAGAAGAAACAGCGTTGGTGATAGCACGCAGCCTTGTAGAACATCAGCATTAATAGGCTTGTAATCGCAGCTTGCACCGTCTACAACGACCTTGATGCTCCGATCTGCAAGAAAACTGGTGATCCAATTGCACAATTTCTCGGGAAGCTTATAGGAAGGGAGCTTTGCAACAGAAACAGAAACAGAAACTTTTTTATTCAATGTAGATTATAAACAATACTTATTGAAAGTCAATTTTTTCATTTACCACTGGTTCGCAAAAAAATATCTCTGTCCTGGGAAGAACCAGCAAGAAACCCAGCGGGACTATTTTTTTTTTTCAAATAATAGCTTACAATCATGTTTACAATTAACAACACAAGACAAATTAGGAATAGCTTGGTAGCGATCACCCTTCCCAGGGGTTATTATCATTCAAAAATTCTTTAATATTATAATAAACCTTTTTATACAAACTTAGTTTAATAAAATTTTTGAACTTTGCGTATGAAAAATTTTGTATATTTTCTAGGAGTTTGTTGTAAAAGCGTATACATCGCCCCAAGAATGAATTACTGATCGGTGGAGTCGAGTAACTGGGATATTAGGAGCAGACACAAGCTAGTAGTACTAGCTTGTGTCTGCTCCTAGTATTTACAGAATGAATATCACTTATTTTCGGAAAACTATTTTTATTTTTGTGCATGTACTTTACATTTTTATAAATGTATTGAGAGGCCAGAGTTAATATATTAATTTCCTTAAATTTTTATCTCAGTGACTCTTTTGGTTTTAAATTATATATTGCTCTAATGGCCCTCTTCTGTAAAATAAATATAGTTTCAGTGTCAGTCGCGTGTCCCCATAGCAAAATACCATACGACATAATGCTATGGAAACAACTAAAGTAAACTATTTTAGCTGTTTCAACACTGGTAAGAGTTCCAATCTTTTTTTACAGCATATGCTGCATAACTAAGTCTGCTAGCTAGTTTTGATATATGGGGGAGCCATTGAAGCTTTGCGTCCAGTGTGATTCCAAGAAAAATGGTGGTACCAACAAGACTCAGTTCCTCCCCATTTAAAATTACATTCGTATTAACATGTTTGACATTTGACATAGACATAGGTTTTATTAGCATCAATACACTCACAAAATATACATTTTAAAGTAAATAAGAACATAAAACACACAAGGTACAAGGTGGTAAACATAATTAAAAATAAGTCTCAGCAAGAGTGAGTGATGTGATGCCAAAAAGGATTCCGTCTCAGCATATGCTACCACAAGTACTGCAGCAGTAGTAGTAGTAGTGAGTGGTATTTATTCGATTCTGCGCCCGCGTCATTATCGTGCGTACATTCCATTTAAAAAATAATGAATCAACCATTCACTCAAAGCGTATACACACTAGCACATAAAAATACATTACATTTTACATTGTACTATATACATATTAATTATTCGTATATTTGTTAAATAGTACTTGGGTTAGTTTGCCTACACGTGAAACGTCATGATTTTTGAAATGCTAAATGGTGTTTTTTAGTTGAGCTTTAAAACCGTTTACAGATTTAGATTCCCATGAAGGTGGTGGTAAATTATTCCAACATTTAGTGGCCATATAACTAAAACTGCCACGAAATGCGGCTGTTCGGTGATATGGGATTGCTAGAATTGGTGTACCCGTTCTGATGCTTTGACAATCATCAGCTCTTCCCATTTTAATTTTTGAAAGAGGTATTCCGGTCTTTCTGATTTTATGCATCCGAACAGAAGCGTAGCTAGATGTAAATCTCTCCTCAATGACATCCTTAATATATCCGACTTATTAAGATATAGATGTACATGATGATATCGAGGAATATTAAAGATGTACCTTGCACATTGGTTTTGCCCCCTTTGTATTGAATTATTTGTTTTAGCAAATAGTCTAGGACCATACACAGTATCTGCGTACCCAAATTTTGAAAGTACGAGTGACTCACATAGGCGTAAGCGGACATTCTCACTGAGATAATCACGCACTTGGTAGAATACTTTGAGTCTATAAAAACAGTTGCGTGTGATCATGTACATGATTCTCAAAGCGAAGACCCTGGTCTTACTTTATACATTGGGGTTACGAATTTCATACATTTGGTTTTAGTACCATTTAAATGCAAATTATTAACATTAAACCAATTGACTAACTTAGCTATAGCATTTTTACTTCGTCGTAATTAATAACTGTCGTTTTAATTTGAAAATTAATGAAGTATTATCAGCACATAATACTATATCATGGTTATCCCTTACTCTGTAAGGTAAGTCATTAATATATACAAGAAACATAAAGGGACCTAGAGAATCGAGCCCTGAGGCACGCCCATTTGTACAGTCGACCCGGAAGAACTCATACTATTAATGACAACTTTTTGCGTTCTGTCGCTTAAATATGAAATAATTAATTTAAGAGCATCACTTCTTACAACATAGAAAGAAGCGCTTTGTGCCAAACCCGATCGAAGGCCTTCGCAATGTCGAAGCTAATGGCCAATGCTTCCCCCGTGGACTCCTGCAGCCGCCCATATATGAGTCAGGTAGACCAGAAGATCACCAGCTGATCGACCACGATGGAAACCGTATTGGCGGTCACTAATCAGCTGGTGATTCTCAAGGTACCTCATGAGCTGGCAGTTCAAAATGGATTCCATTGTTTTGGAGAACAAGGAGGTGATGGCGATGGGCCTGTAACTGGACGAGTCTGAGCGGTCGCCTTTTTTAGGGATCGGCTGGACAAAAGCCGTCTTCCATGATTTTGGGACTACACCTAGAGAGTAGGAGTACCAGAAAAGATGCGTTAAGACCGGTGCCAATTCTGGAGCACACGTCCTCAGCACAGTGGGGGGGCGTCAGGCCTACTCGACTTTTGAATGTCCAGAGAGAGGCGTGCTTTGCAAACCGAACGCTGTGTAAACAGCGACTTCGGCATGGAGCACTCACACTGCGTGGTAGTCGGTGGCGTACCCCCCCCCCGTCAGTTGTCATGTTGTCGCGTTGGATAATATTTTGCGTGATGATTGCATTATATATATATATATAAGTTAAGTTACAGCCTATATACGTCCCACTGCTGGGCACAGGCCTCCCCCTTATTTCTGAGAGGGTTTTAGGGCAAGGAATATATAATATAATATAATATATAAATATATATATATATATATATATATATATATATATATATATATATATATATATATATATATATATATATTATTCATTCAGATATTGCTACTAAATGTATAAAATGTATTTACCAGGTCCAACATGCATTATTCAAACTATAATAGGGTTTTTCCCCAAAATCCTCACTCCATCGAGAGGGACGACACTATACATCGGAAAAGGAAGAACTATCTACCGACTTTCACCTTACAGCTTAGTCAAAGACAAAAGTATCGAGTCACTAAGGTATTATTTATCGATACTTAGTAAAATATTCTAATAAAAGTATCGAGTACAAAAATACTGGTATCGGTACTTTTTCCGGTACCCTAGTGATTGGCGTTTGGCGTCTGACCGTGTGATGGCTTGTAGCTTGCTACATATTTATTTATCTATGGCTTGATGCACCTGATGGCTGATGGTGATCGATATATTACTTTCCTCTATGTGGTGATGCCTTTGCTGCTGCAGTGTGCTTTGTTTATTTTAATAAAAATAAGTGTCTTTTGTGATAGATGTGATTGATTATAGTATGCAATATATAACTGGATTGTGCTAAACTACTAAAATGTCTCGTGAACCTCCTCGAAAACCTTTCTATAACCGGGGACGCGATTGGGATAGAAATGACTACAGAAGTCATCAAATGTCAAGAAAACGAAGCAGAAGTCCAAGCCGGGATATAAAACGCCGCAGTCGTTCGCCACGAAAATCTGAGAAAGAATTATTAGATGAGAATATTTTAAGTGAAATATCCAAGTTACCGGAGCCCAACGAATTATGGGACAATCAATTTCAGGAGGGTGGATTTAGCGGGAATGCCGTTGCACCACCACCACCGCAGTTTTCACAAGATGTAAATGTTATTGTATATATTGATATTTACTAAAGAGGTTCTTAATTAAAACCCGGTTAACCTAAAAAATCAAAGCTTTGCTTAGAATTGAACCCAAAATATCTTTTTTGTGATTTTATTGACCTACGTACTTGTTGACTAGTTAATTGAATTGTCTCACCTTACAACAACATCAGATTATGATCCAAATTACAAACATTTCATGACATATTTTCTGTTACCAACCTAAATTACAAGAGAATAATAAAATTGTAAGAGTTGAATTATAATCTTCTTTCTTTAACACTATTAAAACACACATTTTATATAAGTGTGTATGTCTTTTGAGCTAATGTTTTAGTTGTGAGCTGAAAAATTAACAACATAAAATATTACTGTTTTCAGCAAAACAGATATTATAAATTAAAAAACGGATTGAGTTGAAAAAATCTGATGTAAACTAGTCATTAAATGGAATAATTTATGGTTAGACTTACTAAAATGTTTAATTTCTCTCCATTGGATTGTGTTGCCTATTACACTACTGTTAAGCTTTAATAAACAACTACTTACAAAACATTCTAGGCAATGGTTAAGGTTTCAAAAATTAAGCCTTAATTATAAGGGTCATTCCACGACAACACCACATCACAGTGACAAAATGTGGTCACATGTGAATAGTGTCGCTGCAGCTTTTTGCAGTTGCGTTGTAAAAGTGAAGTAAAGTAAAGTTACAGCCTATATAGGTCTCACTGCTGGGCACAGGCCTCCCCTCATTTCTGAGAGGGTTTTGAGGCAAGGAATAGTCTGCCGTGCTGCCCCAATGCGTGTTGGCGAACTTCACATGTCTTCGAAATATTTTTTTTCTTATTCCTCAGACATGCAGGTTTCCTCACAATGCTTTCCTTCATCGCCGAGCATGTGCTAAATCAGCACTTAAAATTGCAATTCACAATTTCATTGGTTCTGGCAGGGATCGTACCCGGGTTACTCGCATTCTGTTATATTTACAGCAAGCTTTAACCATCTGAGCTACCATAGCTATAATTATAGGCTATAGTTGGGTTGTGGTGGCTACAAAATGTCGATGTGGTTGCGTTGTTGCTAGTAGCAGCCACTCGTTCCATAGTTGTGCTGTTGTCGGTATCACTCACGCTGTCGATAAAACTGCAAAATGCTGTACATGTGAACTGTACTATTCATTTCCAATACAAAATGTGCCCATATGTTGTGGTTGTGGTATGTGTTGGACGCTCCTAAGCTGAGAATGGTCAAGATGCGAGACAAAGAAAATGGTCAGACCTTAGATGAGATAGATGGCTGTTTTTGCAACTCCATGTCTAAGCGCGTATTTTGCGTGTGGGCAGGAATAATGTAATTATTCGAGCCATGAAATCTCTCCAAAGAAGTTCAGCAGTCCTTTGATGTTGTAAGCAACTTCGGGGAGTGATGATTGTTACATTTATTTACTATAAAATTAAATTTTCTTATATTTTATGCCGAACTTGTAGTTTAAAATATAATATTATATAAAACATTTAAAATATTTGTATTTTATATTTATCATTTGAAGGTTTTACTTCTGTCGCGTGTGAGATGCATGCATGTTTTTTTTTAATTCTTTCCTCTGGGAAGTTAGTCGTGTGGACCTTTCGGGTTGCACCTAGACTGCTTTTATTAAATTATGAATTATGTATGTATTATGCATGTACAGTATACAGTAGGGTCTCGTTAATCTGGAGAGGCAAAACCAAGGCCCTTTCCGGATTATCAAGGCATCTAGATTATAGTGTGCCATATTTAGTGGTAATAAAACACATGTTTAACCTTAAGTTTCTTTAATAAATTTTCAAATTAAAGCATAAACACAAAAATGTACATGTTCAAAATCACAACCGTGTAAGTAACAGTAAGTTAAAATAAAACATTAATTAATTCTTAAATTCACTGGGACCACATTCTGTTAGGCTAACAAACTTCAAGATTTTGTCTTTGTTTTTCTTTATGTCGCCTACAGTTGACCTGCCTATACCAAACTTCCGAGCAATGACAGGGTAGCTGTCACCTTTACCTAACATTTCTATAATCCGCGATTTGTCTTTTATTGTTAATGTTGAATGTTTACATGGCGGTGCCATGATGTTAGCGAATTGATCGCGCTAAATTGACACTGTACATACTACACGAAAGGCGATAAACAAAAGACTGACTACGCCTGATAAATAGAAGAAGGAGTGATTGACTCATGGCAGTCCGCAACTGCACCCACCCGCCTCCCCAGAAACCCACTAACCGGCCGGATTATGGCGATCACCTAACAAGCGGGAGTCCGGATTACCGAGGCCCTACTGTATATATTATAAATGTATTAGTGGGGACGATGTTGAAACTTGAAACCACAAATCCTCACTAAAGAACACTGATTCATACAAAGGATGATACACAAGGCTATTGAAATTTAAAAAAACATCCTAATTTCAATAGAGAAGATGGATGGGTGCTGCCATCATGATACTGTAAGCTTGTTCTGCATAGATCAGACCAAAAATATATATTCAAAAACTGAAGGTAGCTTGGCTGACTATGACAACATTAGGGCGTCAAACATCTCAGTATCCCCCATTGCCAGGAGTGGGGTAAAGCACCTGAAACATTGGGAATTAAAAACAAGTCAATTAAACAGGATAAAATCTTATATAAATAGATTTATGCTATGTTTAGTGTTTGTGTAAACATAAGACATCATTATACTCTTGGGATTGTTTTGTTTGTATAATATTAATGTGCCTCAAAAGATTACTTTAAATAAAATCTAATTGCCAACTCCAAAGAACTAAAAAGGATAAATAAGTGACATTCTGAAGTCTGTGCTAAAACATAATGCGTAGAGGAATTGAAGTCTGAACTTTGTAATGTGAAATTGTTTTATTTATTTTAGTTCTTTGATTTTTACAAATATATTTTTATTACATTAATTTTTTTTAACACTCGAGTATACTAAGGAACATCACAATCTCTATGTTGTCTAAATAGTTTCATTATAAAACTTGATCCTTTATTTTGCCACCCTTGGGGGTGGAATTTTGAACTTCACATTTATATTCTATTTAATGAAAAAAGAATCATCAACACACACAATTGACGAAGATTTCGCGTGACATATAATAATCCCTTCGTTTGAAATAGACTCAAAAGTGAATGTGAAAACAAAGTTTTACTGATTAGTAGTTCTTTAACTTAGATTCCCGCTGGGTTTTCTCTTGCTGGTTCTTTCTGGGGTTTTTCTATACCAATGGCTAAAGCATAAATTAATTTCAATTGGTATAACTTAAAATATAGCTTGAACCAGCTGTTCGCGGTAATTTCATCTGCATGGAATTTTTCATGGATTTTAATTTTTTTACACAGAACCCAATTTTTTTTTTCTAAAATAAAAGTAGCCTAAGTTACTCCTTATGACATCAGCTATATGCCAGTGAAAGTCACGTCAAAATAGGTCTGGCCTTTACAGAGATTAACCGGAATGAACAGACAAAATTTTTTAAAAAAATTTTGTTATATGTATTGTTTATACTTTTATGTGCAGTTAGTAAAAAGCTGTTATTTTGATATTTCAAACAGACGCTTCAAGCCTCTGTTTATTTTTTTTGTATAGATAAAAAATATTATGTAATCTTTATTATTCTATTCAAGGAAATAAATAACTCCTATTAAGGACATTTAAAGTTTTTAATTATAATTTTTCTTTATCCTCAAGGGCACTTATCCCAGCAACTACCAGCCATCATATTCGGGTGTCTATGATGACTTCTCCTCTATACCATCAGCACCACATCCACCGAATGTTTCCGGTTGGAACCAGGTGCCAATGCGGCCTGCTGCGTCAGCACAACCAGCGTTTGTTAATAATGTTGAAGACCAGATTAAAAAAGAAGGTAAGTGCATATATTGCATTTTTATAATTATTTTCAATGTCAGATATTCAGTCAGATTAAGTTTAACATTACATTGAGTTGTTAAGAGTTTGCTGTCATGTGCAATTGGACAATTTGTGCTAAAGATGCTTTATTAGTAAATCATTACAGTACAGAAAATTCTCAGGTATGATGAATGTCATTATTGTGTTTCTTTAATGTATAGATTCGCTCAATTGCTGAATGAATGTAGGATGAACAAATTTCTGTAAAATTATTTTTCTTTAACTTTATAATTTTATATTACATTATTATCAAGGTTACATGAAAGAAAATCCTGTTTCTATAAATAAATATAAATTTACCATGTCTTAATGTTCAGTTAGTTGTCATATATTATGTAGTTTGTTACTTAAACATGACAACATATGCAATTTATTTTTATTTATATATATATTTAGGGGTGATATTTAAGTTATTGCACTCCGAGACAAATGAATATCACTTTTTGTGTTTCCTTTTTATATTGTTAATTGTTAAATATTATTTGTACCTGCATTTAGAGCTAATGCTTTGTGTAGAAAATAATAAGATGAAGCAAAACTCCATCCAACATCAAACCATCTTATCAGGAATTGATTTGTAGATGCTACATGTCCAATGAGATGGGATGTCTAAATATGCTGATACATAAATGAGTATTATTCAAGGCTGCAGGTAATGTAATGTAGGCTTTGGTTGAAGCGCAGATGATATTTTGAAAAAGACTTGGAAGAAAATAAGTTTAGATTAATTAAGGGCCTATACTACCTTAAATGGCTTAGCAAGATCATCCGTTATGCCTAAAATATTGCAGCATTAATTTTGAAATAAAAATATGGTAAAGTTGAGGATTCATGTTAAGTACTACGTTAGACGAAAACACGATTCCGTAAAAATTTCTTGATAGAAAAAATCCAAAGTTACGTCCAAACCGAACAATAAACCGCTAGCCGATAGCACACGACGCGCGGGGAATGGGGGCGAAATTAGAATTTGAGCAGTGGTAGTAAAAGCTCTTAATATAATTTAATAATTATTACGATCTCTATTAAACATAATTTAAAACTTTAAAATTTATTTAAAATAATATTAAAATGATATTTATATTTAAGAAAATAATGTAGTATATATATAAAAATATTTGTCCCAAAATAATACCCTCAAATTTTACACAAATATGTTGGTGGTTTAAAACATGAGTTGTTACCAAATCACTTTATGTACAATTTAAGTTTTCGAAGCAGTGAAACTGTATTTTATTTTTGCTTACTTTATTAAGTTTTTGACAATTGTCATTTGTTGAAATCAGGAGTCTTTTTACATTGTAATATTTTTAAAATAATTGGTAAGAAACATTGTGCTTAAAAGAAATAATGCTTAATGTAGGAATGACGGAAACATTTAAAAAAGTTTTTTGATTACATGATGAAAACACTACTATACTAATGTTAAACACTCGCTGCCCGCGGTGCAATAAAATGGAGAAACAGGACGCCGTCTGTTGCTCTCTTTGTCGCTCTTACGGGCCTTATGCCTGCCATTATAGACGCCGACGCTCGCGGTATTCGCGGCCATAAAACGTGTGAACGACAACGATGATATTGCGCTCTTGCTTGAACTTACTGGTCTTATGGAAGGCCTAATGCTCGATACGCAGCGTCGTATGCTAACGCTGCGATAACGCTAATTTTAAGTTATTCTGTTGAAAATTAAAAATCAGGTTTATGTAATAGATAATGTACGTAAGATGTTCATAGTATAATTAATAGAATCGGCGTTACCCTGCAGAACTTTGTTATATTAAAGACGTTAAAAATTAATTAGCTACGATGTGCAGCACTTCCCGCCCTGCCTCTATTGCGTGCACTATCCCCGTCACCACTAATTCAAATACCACTAAACTAGGATAGAAAACAGGTGAAGTAGACTCTGCACAATCAATATAGGTTATACATTAATAAAAATCATCGAACCTCCTGAATCACTGAGATGGTGTCATTTAATGGGTTTTTTTGTATTATTTTTATGGATTTTGAGAATTTTCTCCTATATTGTAGAGGCAGCTTAAAACATAAATTGCGCAAGAACTGAAGTAAAGACCCGGAACAATAATTTGTAGGCCATACAATTGTTCTGTGTGGGATTCGAACCCGCGGTCCTCAGCGCCGCTACACAAAGCCACTGCGTCACGAAGCCGTCAAATGTGTACTGAAGTGTGTCGTTTTTAAATGGGAGAGTCTATAAACTAACAACAAAATATTAAACATGTTAACATCTTTTTCCTTTCCTTTTCCAGCTATTTGTATATTATTTAATTTCAGTACATTAAGAAAGAAAAAAGCAAGACCTGCAAGAAGACTTAAAATATTTTCATAGCTTTTTTCATATATTATTATAATGATTATGATTCGCTACTTATGTCGTGTAATTTCACTTGCACTGTTATAAATTTTAGAGCCGTGCTTACTTTCTTTATTTGCATAAAATAATTTCTTACATTTTGTATAAGGTGTAAAGTGAAATTATACCCTTCAATCTTATAAGACTATCTGACGAAATATTTCCTTATGATAGCGGCGATCGAGTCAGAAATGCGACATCAAAAGGCGGCTTTGTCGAAACAACGCGAGGACTGCATAAAAAAAGCTTCAATTCTTAAAAAAGAACTTGAGACCTTGAAAGAACAGCGAAATGAACTCCACAGCGATCCCAAACGATCTCCAAGTCCCGACACCAAACGATTTCTGAAAGAAAATACTAAATTACAGGTTTGATCTTGAAATGCTATTGAGATTATACATTTTTAAGTATCCATAGCTTTAACCATATCATAGTTTTGTAACAATTTTTGCTTTGAAATGTATGAAGCTTACACCCAAACAATAGTTTGGGTCCTAAAACGTAACCCTGCATCTTGTCCTGCGTTTTGTATAGTTGGAGATCCAGAATAAGCTGAAGACGATCAACAACGTGGTGGATATGTTAAATGGGCTCATTGGTGAGGAAGCACAGGTGGAAATTAAAGACGCAGATGACTCAACTGAGCGTTCTTCAAAGCGCAAATCCAGGTTGGTAGTGCTACAATTTGTTGAATGCTTGTTGCTAAACCAAAAGTCAAGCAGCAAATTTTTTAAGTATCACCTGTTTTATATGAATAATTGACTTTTAGTTTAGTATTATTTTGTAATATTTGTAATATAATTTTTTAGTTGATAAGATATTGATTGAATTTGAGTTTTGGTAATATTTTCCAAAGACAGAACAGTGAAGCTTTTAGTGCTTTTACGGACAGCCGTTTTAATTCAACAACAGTGGAAGGGGTCGCCGAAGAATATACTGCAGAAGAAATGAGATTTTATTAGATACTTCCTGTACATAAACGTTTGTACATATACTAACATAAAAATAAGTATGTATATAATCCAAGGTATATTGATACTAAAAAGGAATTCCTTTGTGAAAAGTATTTATAATTATTATAGTCTTAATTTATTACTTATTTCTTACTTTATTTGGCTAATAATGTGGAACGCTTTATAAAATTTGTAAGTTTGAAATGAATTCTTAATAAAACATTTTAGGAATGTCTTCTGCTGTTTCTTTTGTTTTCCACTCCCAATGAATGAATTATTGATGTGTCAATGAGTTGTGTAATTATGTGTTATATTTGATGCAAAATATTTTCTATAAATAATTATTCTTCAAACAATGCTACAAATTTGTTAAATTGAATGAAACGGTTACATACGTACGTTACTTTCCGAGTTGATTTCACGGTTTATACTATTCTATTTATTCAAGTTTACCCTACTTGTTTATTATTGCTCTTTATTTATTAAAATATAAGCGCTTTAAAGATTTCTGTTACATCTGAGACTTCGCAAAAGACATGTGGCTAATCGCCGAAAGTTAAACTTTGCTTGCAATGTTAATAAAATATATAAAGATTTTAGTTAGTATCAGATCCACTAGAAGTTTATATAGGGTCACATTGTAAGGTACTTTCAATAAAAAATCGGCAAATTCCTAATCCGCAGTTTTTTTTCGTGCGAGCATCTGTGCAGGTCTAGAAAGACCATAATATCTATTGTGATCGCTGCTATGGCTATGGTTCACTACTAAGCCCTAAGTCTTCAATGAATTGAAGGACTTGCTTCGGAGTCAACAATTTCACTTCTTCTGGGCTAAGTACATAGTTTTTTAGATAAGTGTTGCGTTTGCGCATTAAGAGTCCGCGATCAGTTAGGATGTGCAGAGGTGTCTCTCTTTAAGTAACAGATTCGGCACATCCTCGAGTTGCTTAGTCCCAGAATGGACATGAGCTTTTTTAGACAACAATGTCCAGTCATGGCTCTTGCCAGAATACTAGAATACAGAGTCATAAGCTCTAATTAAGGTTTAATCCACAGTTACAGTTACAAAGGAATTGACAATGAAAAAAAAGAAACCTTAGCTTATTTCCCAGCAGCTGCTTGATTGATATTTCACCGGAACTGTAACCTAATATCACAATGAATCGAAACGGTTCGAATATGCAATCAATATGAATATGCTTTTTATACGCGTACGAAATCAGTTCTCTATTAATTTCAGCAGTTGCCTACGCAGTAGAGCCATAGCTAATGAGACTGGCTCGATTAACTACATGGGTAACACATATTTTATTATGTTGCAAGATATCGCAAACCGGGTTTATACTGTCGTGTTATTATTTATTAAAATGTATACTTCAAGGTTCGTTAATATTTCTATCGCCCTCTCAGGTCGCCATCGGGCAAGAAGTTCAACTATGTGTACTACGACCCGGAGATGCACTGGTGTCGGGTCTGCAATGAGTTCCCCGCCACCGCTAAGGACTATTTGACTCATTTGCATTCTCCGGGACATCACAAGTAAGCATTAACCCTTCAATCCCCATAAAAATCCCATGCAGTCGCATGCGTCCGGAAAATCCCGAGCGGTCGCATGCGACCACACCCACCCACAGCACTTTAAACCATTAAAACTTATATTTAGAGACTACTTTTCTATGAAGAAGTTTGGCATTATAAAATCTATACAAAATTCTCTATCCTGTAGTCTAAACACAAGTGAGGTTTTACTTCATTACAAAAAGATTTCATTGTATTTTGATATGATGTCGGCAACGTGAAAATCGCAATTATTTCTATATATATTACTCGAATTTATTTATGTAAAAACATAAATTATATTCACACAAAAACTTTCATTACAATTTTATATTAAAACACTAATAAAATACTAGAAAATTCCACAATAACACACGTATTGTGTTGATTTTTGGATTTTGACACGAAAATGGCGTACGAAATGAACGTAGATTATAAATAAATATCCGTAGACTAAGTGACTTTATTCCTCTAGAGGATAGAAAATTTCATATTGATTCTATAATGCTGAATTTCTTCATAGAAAAGTAGTCTATAAACATAAGTATTTATGGATTAAAGTGCTGTGGGTGGGTGCGGTCACATTTGACCTCTTGAATTTTGACGGAATATCGAAGCGGTCAAATTTGGACGCTTGCCGTTTGAGAGGTTAAGAAATAATACGATCCCATTTTTTCTACAAAAAATTTTCTTATTTCTGTAGAATATATCAATGAATACATAGTTGATAATAACCTCTGGGAATAAGGTGATCGCTACAAAGCTATTTCTGATGTGATTTGTTTGTACAATATGATACATAATGGTAAACTATTATTTTTTTTTAAAACGTCCTACTAGGTTTCTTGCTGATTCTTCCCAGGATTATTCACCCTATTTTCTAAACCAGTAATAAATCAACCTTCAAAAGAGTCATTGCCAAGGCAAAGTCAGAGCACATAGGCAGAATTGGCGAGAAACTATTTCGCCTTCCTTCTGGAACCCGTGCATTCTGGTCTCTCGCCAAGACTGTCCAGGGGATTTTTGTCAGCCATCTCTTCCATCTCTGCACAGGGAGGACGACTCACTGGCCCATACCGCAAAGGAGAAAACCGATCTTTTAGGCTCTTTCTTTGCTTCCAACTCGACCCTCGATGACGGGGGGAGTACGCCGCCGACAATCCCACGGTGTGAGTGCTCCATGCCGGAAGTGCAGTTCACACAACGCTCGGTTCGCAAAGCACTCCTCTCCCTGGACATCCACAAGTCGAGTGGGCCTGACGGAATCCCCCCAATTGTGCTGAGGACGTGTGCTCCAGAGTTGGCACCGGTTTTAACGCGTCTTTTCCGATACTCCTACTCCCTAGGCGTAGTCCCAAAATCGTGGAAGACGGCTTTCGTCCACCCGATCCCTAAAAAAGGCGACCGCTCAGACCCGTCCAACTACCGGCCTATCGCCATCACCTCCCTGTTCTCCAAAACAATGGAATCCATTTTGAACTGCCAGCTCATGAGGTACCTTGAGGATCACCAGCTGATTAGTGACCGCCAATACGGTTTTCGCCGTGGTCGGTCAGCTGGTGATCTTCTGGTCTACCTAACTCACAGATGGGCGGAGGCAGTAGAGTCCAAGGGGGAGGCATTGGCCGTTAGTTTGGACATTGCGAAGGCCTTCCTATGGGCTTCCCGAGAAATTGTGCGATTGGATCACCAGCTTTCTTGCAGATCGGAGCATCAAGGTCGTTGTAGACGGTGCAAGCTCCGATTGCAAGCCTATTAATGCTGGTGTTCCACAGGGCTGCGTGCTATCGCCAACGCTGTTTCTTCTGCATATCAATGATATGTTGCAAACCCGTAACATTCATTGCTATGCGGATGACAGCACTGGTGATGCTCTTTACACCGGCCGAGCCAATATTTCTCGGGAAAACGTCTCCGAGTGCCGGGACAAACTTGTGTCTGAAGTCGAGTCTTTGCTGAACAGAGTCTCGGATTGGGAGCGACTAAATCTAGTCCAGTTTAACCCCCAGAAGGCACAAGTTTGCGCGTTAACCGCTAAAAAGAACCCCTTTGTCGTATCCCCTCAGTTTCAAGGCACTCCCCTTGTTGCCTCAGCCAGTATCGGAATCCTCGGCGTCGACATATCGAGTGACGTGCAGTTTCGTGGAATGCCACTTGGAAGGGAAGGCCAAATTGGCCTCTAAAAAGCTTGGCGTGCTCAACAGAGCGGGACAGTATTTCATGCCGGCACACCGCCTGCAACTTTACAAGGCACAGGTTCGGCCGCACATGGAATACTGTTCCCATCTCTGGGCTGGAGCTCCCCAGTACCAGCTCCTTCCACTTGACCGCATCCAGTGCAGAGCGGCTCGAATCGTCGACGACCGAGTGCTTTCCGATCGGCTCGATTCTCTGGCACTGCGAAGAGATGTTGCATCCCTTTGCACTTTCTTTCGCATATACCATGGAGAGTGCTCTGAGGAATTGTTCGGATTAATCCCAGCCGCCAAATTTCGTGAACGCACTACGCGGCAAACATCCCGATACCATCCACACCATTTGGATGCTTGGCGGTCCACCACTGTACATTTCAAAAGGAGTTTTCTTCCACGTACAACCTCTGTGAAATAGTTTACCATCGGCGATTTTTCCGGATCGATACGACCTGGGGACCTTCAAGAAAAGAGCTCACTCCTTTCTAAAGGGCCGGCAACGCACCTGCAATTCCCCTGGTGTTGCGGTTGATCATGGGTGGCGGTAGTCACTTAACATCAGGTGAGCCGCATGCTCGTTTGCCCCCTCTACTATAAATTAAAAATTAAATTAAATTAATTAATTAAAATTAAATAAATGAAACTTAAAATTTACTTTTTATAATTATTATTTATGATCTATATCGAATAAAAAAAATTGTACCTATTTCTATCACTGGTTAAATTATTTTAACCGATATTTCGAGTTTCATAAGTTTATAGTAAGTACATTGCATGCATTTGCTGAATCTTCACCACTTGTCATTGTCAAAATAGGTCAACTAACTTCGCCACACATCTAGCTTTTACCATATAAATGTTTCAGTTTAAAATTATTATTAAACTAAACTGAAGGTAGCTCCATGTTTAATTATGAAACTGGAACATCCGTAACCATGGGTGCTGTAAAGTACTCGTATCATTGAGAATATAAAATAAGTTAATGTACGCTATAAAATCCGTAGGAAACTTAGTTTCAATCTAAACGTTTGCATAAACTTAAGAAATCATTAGCTTTTATCAACTCTTTCTATGCTTTTTATATTATTAAAGGTTGTCAACGAAACGTAACAGTCTGCCTGATAGTAAGTATGGTTAATGGACACCTACAACAACCCGCTTTTTTATAGAATAAGGGTGACAAACGAGCACACAATCCACCTGTGATGATGTTGGATGCTGTGGCTCATAGAATTCTTCATTTATCCTCGATTAAGAGTCAAAACGCAGATGCGTTGTCACCCCTGAGGACTAAGACGGAAAGTCTCGTTTCCAGTTAAAATGATCTCCGGATCTCTACACTCACCACCATCACACAGCAGTATTAAGCTGCTATTTTACGCTGGTATTCTGTAAGAGTGTGGTCCTTCTCCGGTCGAGCCGACTCCTTTGTGCTACAACCATAATATAGCTGCAGCGCGGCTCTACCACGTATAAAAACCCGCTTAAGGGCCGATTTACATTTCGACAAGTACAGGGGCGAGTTTAGTTCCAGGGCTGTTGACAATAACCGATTAAGTGGGCAGTAGCGTTTCGTGGCGAGTTTAGTTCCAGGGCTGTTGACAATAACCGATTAAGTGGGCAGTAGCGTTTCGTGGCGAGTTTAGTTCCAGGGCTGTTGACAATAACCGATTAAGTGGGCAGTAGCGTTTCGTGGCGAGTTTAGTTCCAGGGCTGTTGACAATAACCAATTAAGTGGGCAGTAGCGTTTCGTGGCGAGTTTAGTTCCAGGGCTGTTGACAATAACCAATTAAGTGGGCAGTAGCGTTTCGTGGCGAGTTTAGTTCCAGGGCTGTTGACAATAACCAATTAAGTGGGCAGTAGCGTTTCGTGGCGAGTTTAGTGCCAGGGCTGTTGACAATAACCAATTAAGTGGGCAGTAGCGTTTCGTGGCGAGTTTAGTGCCAGGGCTGTTGACAATAACCAATTAAGTGGGTAGTAGCGTTTCGTGGCGAGTTTAGTTCCAGGGCTGTTGACAATAACCGATTAAGTGGGCAGTAGCGTTTCGTGGCGAGTTTAGTTCCAGGGCTGTTGACAATAACCGATTAAGTGGGCAGTAGCGTTTCGTGGCGAGTTTAGTTCCAGGGCTGTTGACAATAACCAATTAAGTGGGCAGTAGCGTTTCGTGGCGAGTTTAGTTCCAGGGCTGTTGACAATAACCGATTAAGTGGGCAGTAGCGTTTCGTGGCGAGTTTAGTTCCAGGGCTGTTGACAATAAACAATTAAGTGGGCAGTAGCGTTTCGTGGCGAGTTTAGTTCCAGGGCTGTTGACAATAACCGATTAAGTGGGCAGTAGCGTTTCGTGGCGAGTTTAGTTCCAGGGCTGTTGACAATAACCAATTAAGTGGGCAGTAGCGTTTCGTGGCGAGTTTAGTTCCAGGGCTGTTGACAATAACCAATTAAGTGGGCAGTAGCGTTTCGTGGCGAGTTTAGTTCCAGGGCTGTTGACAATAACCGATTAAGTGGGCAGTAGCGTTTCGTGGCGAGTTTAGTTCCAGGGCTGTTGACAATAACCGATTAAGTGGGCAGTAGCGTTTCGTGGCGAGTTTAGTTCCAGGGCTGTTGACAATAACCGATTAAGTGGGCAGTAGCGTTTCGTGGCGAGTTTAGTTAAAAAAAGTACAATTTAATATTTTAATAATCGAACGCGAACGTGTTGCGTGGGAAACGCACGGTAGGGCAACACTTCGAACTTGACTCGCCTAAAAATAGACGGCCGGCTATCCCGTTCAACTTAATTGTTAATTTGCTACTTAACCGTTGCCGTCAAATTAATTTTTTCACTTAACTCGCCAGGTTTGCAAGTTAACTCGCTACTGTAATTGTCAAAGTGTAAATCGGCCTTTAAACAAAGTAGGCAACAGATGCTTTGTTATCAGCGTGGACTCTTATAACATTAGCTCTCTTTCACTTTAAGTCGGTACCAGTAGTGGGGCACAGCTTCTTTGCGGCAGTAATAGATCAGATGCAGGTTGTATCAACCCAGACGTCTAACCAAAAAATGAGCCCTGCCTACTTGTACTGTTTATGTTTATTTTAAAAGGTTCAAGTAATATAAAATGATTATACCATGACTCGTTTATTTGCTGCAGAATGGCAGCAGCACATATGGAAGCACCGTGGCACTCAGTGTCCGGCATGAACGAGGGCTTCCCCAATTATCCCTCTGCACCCACTAAACGCACTCCTATTAGAGGTAATTATTAAAATACAATAATAAATTATTTTTTATGACATGTTTTTAAATTCTTGACTATATCTTTTGGTGTTTAATTTTAATATATGATGGCTTCAAGGTCTTCAATTCTTTGTGCCGTCAACGGCGTGGTACTGCAAGCTATGTGACCAGTTCATCGGGGACCTGCATTGCGCTTCCGCCCATCTCAAGTCGATCGTTCACTCTAAAAATTACACCGTAAGTTATTAAACATATTTGTATTATATTTATTTGTTGAAAGAAATATGTCAAATAATTAAAAGAAATAATGAAAAAAAAAAACTCATCAATTATTTATTCTTATGTTATAAGAACCATCGCTAAACACATCGTCGTTCGGTATCTCCTCGTTATTTCATCAAAATTACAGCCCTTCACAAGTCTACTGAACATAGGCCTCCCCCAAGGTATGCCACAAAACACGGTCCTGAGCCACCTGCATCCATCGACTTCCTACATGTCTTACCAGGTCGTCACTCCATCTAGTAGGGAGTAGCCCTACACTTCGCCTACTGGTACGAGGCTGCCATTCGAGAACCTTTTTCCCCAACGGTTGTTGGTTCTTCGAGCTATATGGCCGGCCCATTTCCACTTCAGCTTACTAATCCGTTGGGCTATGTCGGTCGCTCTGGTTCTACTGGGGATATCCTCATTTCTAAGTTTATCACGCAGAGAAACCCCGAGCATAGCCCTCACCATAGCTCGCTGAGCGACTTTGAGCGTCTACATACTGCCAGCAGTGAAGGACCATGTCTCAGTGTCATATGTCATCACTGGCAACACGCACTGGCTGTGCAATTAACCGCCACTACACGGCACATCTAAAACCACTAAAAACTGAAGAAACATATCGTAGTAGTTGAGAGGGAGGACTCCGGCTTGTAAATTTCGGGGAGTGACATTTCTAAGAACTAAAATTAACTACCGTAATGAATCAGTCTATGTTCGTATGCTACGTCACAGCGTAGTTACGATGCCGCACAAATATATTTATTAAGCGATAATTTTTCTTAATTTTAGAATTTTGTGGAACAAAACCCACACTGGGACACGGATTGGATGTCAGATAGACAAAAAGCGTTTGAGAAGAGCCGTGGTAAAGCAAAAATGGAAGAGAAGCCACAATATACGGCTCATACTATCACATTCTGTAAGGATGGTTTCCACACAAAAACACTGAAAGACAGCCCGCCTCCAACATCGAGCACAGAAAAGAAAAGAAAGAAGGAGAAAAAGAAGAAGAAGGCAAAGAAAAAGCGAGTAGCCAGCAGTGACTCAAACAGCAGTTCAAGTAGCTCTGATAGTGATTCGAAAAAGCCTAAAAGTAAGTTTTATATTTTTATGTAATAATAAAGTGACAAACAAACTAACACACCACCTGATGGTACATAGCTAGTGCAGCTTGAAGACACCTGCAAACATGTCTCCAAAAAAGGCCAGAAATTCGCTGTAACCCCTGAAGAATGGATTGCCTCACTGCCGCCTACCTTTTACCCCTGACTGTGTAGTTAAAGTTACAGCCTATATACGTCCCACTGCTGGGCACAGGCCGTCCCTCATTTCTGAGAGGGTTTTAGGGCAAGGAAGTGTCCGCCGCGCTGTCCCAATACGTGTTGGCGAACTTTACGTGTCTTCAAAATATATTTTTCTCATTTGTCATTACCTCATACCATTCATCCATCACAACCTATAAAAGATATCATAGAGGGGATTTTCCCATAGTTGCCACGCTTGGCAAGAAGGTTGGCATTCGCAGTATTTTGAGCTGTTATGTATATGTTATGTTATTAAGAAGATGCTCCTTCCCACTCCGAGTTTGTTTCGCTCTGCCGCTTACGACACCCACGGGACGATATGGGGTGTGTGCGTGTGATATTCTTACACTGCCACTGCACTGTAATACCACTAACTGTAATACCACTATAATACCTCTTACCCACTATTTACTTATTTCATTTTTTCACTTTATTGATTATACTTTAACAAACGAGTCGCTAAGGGCGGACTCAATGCTTTTAGTAATTCCCTCCCAGTCACTGCTGGGTATTCTCTTACCCTGAAACCCAAACACATGATCATGTCATATATGTATAAATATTATCCATTAACAACAGTATTATTGTAGAACGCTGGGACATATAAGGTGCATAACAGGTACATGTCTGGACCAAGAACACCTCATTGTACCACCCCAGCCTTGATCTACTTTAATTCAGAATAATAATCCTTTCGTCATCTTTTGAATACTTTGATTGTTATGTTTAAGATTCCGACGTGGCTGCGAATGACTTGGGAAGCATGATCTATAGCTTGTAAATCAAACCTAGATGCCATCCCTCATCAAATGCTTTTGGTGTATCTAAATTATTTTCTAGAAGACAATTCGTGATACTGTAAATACATATAAGATGAAAAAAATAAAATTTCATTTTAATATCTTCTACATCACCCAGTAACAATCTATTGCTGGACAAATTCTTCTCCCATTGTAGGCAGGATATAATCTAGACTATTTATCGCCGTCTATCGGAAGTCAATGAACAGTATTTGTGACTTTTCTCATGTCCTTGTACGATACGCCCGTGACAAAATGAGGTGATAAATTTTCTTAAGCAATCACCTCACGGCAACACTTTCTACTAACTATAATTTATTATTATATATTATATATACTATATTATTATTTTTTCAGAAAAGAAAGATAAGCTGATTGACGACAAGGCCCTGTCGGAGTGGATGTCAGCAATACCGATGAACAGTCTGAACTACAATGAAAGAAAACTCTTGGACAGCTTGAAAAATAGAGCTGAGTAAGTATTAACTGTAACACTTAGGTTGGTACTCAGAGTGTTTCAGAGACAATGTAGTCCATACTATACTTCACAAAATTTGAAATAGTGGAATTTGAGCCAAAATTCGAGATTGTCATTGAATACCTCTTTGATGAGAGTATTGATGTTTCAAGACTAGCCATGCCCACGACTTTGATTAGAATTTATTACTGAGAGTTTGGCTGAGTTTTCGGCCTAACAAGACTAGAACCACCATTTTATCTATTCATCCAGTTTAAAATGTAAATGGAGTTGTGAGTTGGGGGTGACCAAGCCTTTTTTGTTTGAATGTTCTGTAGTTGGACAGTGATAAAAGTTAGACTTCTCCACTATCAGTCTCTTTCATAATATAATCGGTTTTAACTATAGTGAAGAGAAATTTAAAAAAATGTATTCACACACAATTATTACATTCTTTTTAAAGTAGGGAGGATGAACGCCGAAAATCCCACACACGTGAAGAGCGAGATAGACATGAAGACCGCCGCAAAGAGGAGAGGAGAGAAGAGAAACGAGACGTAAGGCAAAACAGGAGAGAGGATAGAAGAGAAGAAATGTCGGAGAGAAGAGAAGAGCGGCTAGAAAGAAGGGAAGAGCGGCCAGATAGAAGGGAAGAGCGGCCAGATAGAAGGGAAGAGCGGCCAGAAAGAAGGGAAGAGCGGCCAGAAAGAAGGGAAGAGCGGCTAGACAGAAGGGAAGATAGGGCAGAAAGAAAGGAAGAGAGGACAGAACGGAGGGATGAAAGGGAAGACAAGCGACAGGAGAGGCGAAATGAAAGCCGTTCGCGATTGACGCAGGAGTCATCGGATGCTAAGAAACCTGAGATAAAAAAGATGCCTTTCATTGGTAAGACACAGTCAACTCAATTTACAATTTAATTTTTCGATATTTAATTATTTTACGGTTCGAATTTTTCTTATTTAGGAAAGATGCCCGTGTTCAAAAACTTGGGAAAAAAGGATAATACAAAAAACGAAGATCAAAAAAAGGAAGATGAAAAAAAGAAACAAGAAGAGGAAGAGTCAAATAAGAAAAGAAGGGAGGAAATGGACGCCGAGATACAGAAGAAGGTGAAGTGTTGTTTGTTTGATTTAAAGTTACATGTTAAACTGCTGGGTACAGTCTTCCATCTTTATAGTCAGTGGAGTATAATGTTTTGATTATTACAGGTTAAAATTGAAATTAACAATAAAAAAGTGTGTAGATATGTATGTACCAGTCTCACATTAAATAAGAAGTGAAAATTTTCCTAGATAGTACTATTTTCTGCTCAGCAACTCTTCTTAAAATCTTTGCATCAATGCCACTGCATTCTGGTTAAAAAAGTGAGAGGGCTTGGATTACAGGCTTTGATAGTTCTTCGAGGAGATAAGGCATGTAGGTCACATGCCTTATCTACTCTTGTAAAATGACTTTCTTCTTGTTTATGTCGGTGCCTATGGTCTCCAGTAGTAACTTACTATGAAGTAGAGTGTGTATATGTTTAGAAATTTAGAGCTTTATTCCATACGCAGTGTCTAAATTATAATATCTTTTCATTATTTGTAATTATGAAGATTTTTGTAATTTTGAGAACACTGAATTCCGGAGTAAAGTAATTATTTGTCTTTTGTCCATTCATCTGAAAATTGATCGGGTCTTGACTGACATGGACTATGGTCGGGTCGGTAAGAAGTTGAGCCGTGGTAGCTCAGATGGTTAACGCTCGCTGTAAATATCACAGAACGCAAGTAACCTGGGTTCGATCCCCGCCGGCACCAATGAAATTGTTAATTGCAATTTTAAGTGCTGATTTACCACGTGCTCGGCGGTGAAGGAAAACATCTTGAGGAAACCTGCATGTCTGAGGAATAAGAAAAAAAAAGACATGTGAAGTTCGCCAACACGCATTGGGGCAGCGCGGCGGACACTTCCTTGCCCTAAAACACTCTCAAAAATGAGGGGAGGCCTGTGCCCAGCAGTGGGAAGTATATAGGCTGTAACTTTAACTTTTTTTATTCGTTGATTTATATATCAGAAAATTTTTCCATCCATTTGTGCCGCAGAACATTTGCGACAGATGGTTTTAGTTGTGGGATATCTAACCTAAGCAGTATGATACGACAGATATTTTGCAAAAGCCTTGAGCAATTATATTTGTTGATATTTCTACAGGTTGCGGAGTTCAAAGAGAAGATAGCGAAGGCTCAGTTAGAGAAGGAGCAACAGGATATGGCTCCATCTTTGGCGCTCTCCGCTCAGCTCGGATTCCTACCACCACCGCAGCTCATTACTCCGTAAGTACATTTTACTCTAATATAGTTTGTGTATATTTTCACCACAAAAGAAATTAAAATTAAACTTTGGCATAAAGTGACAATTACTAAATGCGAACTGAAAATAAAAGTGGACAAGTATTTATCCTTGAGAGATACAAATTTTTCCTGCAAAACTTTTTTATTCAATATGGGGACAAACGAGCACACAGTCTACCTCATGGTAAGTGGGTGCTGTGACACAGACATCTACATCTATCTTTGATTCAAAATCAAAACGCAGATGCGTTGTCGCCCCTCAGGACTAAGATTTAATGCCTCGTTTCCAGTAAAAAAGGGTCGCCGGATCTCTACACTCATCATACGAAACACAGCAGCATTAAGCTGCTATTTTATGCTGGTATTCTGTGAGAGTGTGGTCCTTCCCCGTTCGAGTCGACCCATACTTAGTCTTATTTGTTCTCGTCACGTCCACTATTGCGTCCACTCCATTATAATATTATTTTTTATCTGTCAATTGTGTCTTAATTATTTAATTTCGTAATATATTTTTTTTATTTTTCACCTTTTAATTAGCCGGCGGTGTCGCCATGTAATATAGGAATGGTGTCAGTGTAGGAGACGTGTTGCTCGGTTTACGACTTTAATTATACTGCCACATTATTCTACCTTAACACTAAGGTATATTAACGTGGGGGCACTACACTACAAGTACATTATTATTTTATACTATTTGTCATGTGTTCAGTGGTGAGAGACATTGTGAGAAAATCTGCATATATGTCCAAGAAATTAAAAAAATACTTGTTACATATGTGAAGTCCGCCAGCACGTATTGGGCAGCGTGGCAGATACTTGCTTGCTCTTAAAGCCTGGCGTCGATTACAGCAGAAACGCGTCGAATCGAAGCGAGCCACATTTATTTCTAGTGCGTCCATCTCTAAAGAATCGAATCCAATTGTTCATTCATCGCAAACTCTTCATCAAATTAGGTCGTTTTTGCGTCATGGACAGCTCGGATGAAGAGATGTTTTTATTTCAAATACTTTTTGATGAAGAAGAGGAGAATAGAAAAAGGAAACGGCGTGCTCCCAAAAACTGGATACATGACATTTATATGAAAAGAAATAACTACGGCGAATTTCACCATTCATATCCAGATTTGAAAAAGAGGTCCTGTTAAATTTTTTCAATATTTTCGTTTATCCTATGAAACATTTCAAGTTTAATAGACTTACTTGGACTGTGTAAAGAAATTACAAGATTCAGGAGTATATTGTAGGAACAATGAGATCAATAGTTCTTCATTCATTTTTATTTAAACAAAAAGATTTGTATGAAAACGATATAGAATTTAATAAAAAAAAGTTGCCGTGCATCCACTTTTCCGCGTCGACCGAGGCGCGCCGAGTTGAATCGAATTGCATCGGCGAAGAAATTCGCCTGTCAATCAATTCGCTCGTCGCTAATGGACGCAGTTTCATAGTAAATATATAGGAGGCGACTTTCTGCAATTCGATTCGACTCGGCTCGGCCAGCAGTGTGACCATATGTGGCAGGATCCTGCCATTTTGGCAGGATTGGCCACTTATTTTAGCCTTTGGCATGATCGGTTGACGTTTTATAAAAACTGGCAGTATTTGACGGTATTGGGTTATTAAAAATAGGTTTCATTATGGCAACTCAAAATGGCTAAAATGGCAGCCTTTTAGATACTTCACCAGCATGTGGGGGATTTCCCTGTACTTCTCGTATTATGTTTGTATCACACTCAATAAACAACTTCAAGAGTTTCTATGATAATCTTGATAATCTTAAATTAAATAATGTTGATAATCTTAAAACAAGTATTCATAAACACGAGTTTATGGTTAATATATCAATCAGTCATAGAAGAGACACTTAAATAATGAATGTATTGCAAAATTCGCAAAGAGACTGCTATGCTTACCAATTTCCAACGCTGCATGCGAAAGAATATTCTCTCAAATAAATTTAATTAAGACAAAAACACGAAACAGATTTATAAACGTTTAAAATTTTTTTACGTGGAAGAGCCATGCTGCAGTTATATTAGTAGTATAGTTGTAGCACGAATGGGTGGGCTCGACCGGGGAAGGACCACGCTCTCACAGAATACCAGCGTCAAATAGTAGCTTAATGCTGCTGTGTTTCGTATGGTGAGTGTAGTGAACCGGAGACCCTTTTTACTGGAATCGAGACATTCCATCGTAGTCCTCACGGGTGACAACGCATCTGCATTTTGTTTTGTAATCGAGGATACATGTAGATGTCTATGGGCCAAAGCAACCACTTACCATCAGGTGGACTGTGTGCTCGTTTATCACCCTATCATATATAAAAAAAAACATCATGTAGCGTCTATCTTGCACGTTAAACAAGGAATTGATGAGCATGCATTGCATTCAAACCTACAAAAGATATGTTAAATCCATGTATAAAGATGAAAAAAGAAGAATATGATGCTAACTGCAACGTTTAATTTCAATTTAATAAAAATATAGCGTTTTAAATTATGTTTATTTTTTTTTCTTAGTTTAATACAATGGTAAATAAAGTTGGCAATATTTAGGCATTTTTCACTACAGACTTTGGCAGCTTTTTAACCAAATTAAGGCAGGATCTGTATTTTTAAGATGGCCACTGTCGGCGAGCCTAGTGGACGAATGCGGGACTTAAAACGTCTCAGAAATGTGGCCAGCCATATAGACTTAACTTACTTTATGTCCTCTATAAAAATAAAATTGTATCTTCAATGCATTGAAATGCGATATTACCAAACTACAAAGCTTTCATGATCTTCTCTGGTTATCAATGATCTATTTACATCAAATTCTATTTAAATCAAATTTACATCGACCTCCTCATCAGGGTGTGCCGAGGTTGGTGCGTTAACTTGTATGACCTTCAGCGAATATAGTTTGGTGATTCTGAGTACAAGGACTCAACACTCGTCAACACACTTCCAATCTTTACAACGTTGTTAACTAGAGACTTGTGGACGATAAATCGGACACCTTCTTAGGACAGATAGTCGCCCTCCCGGTGATGGAACAAGTTGACGGATTCGAGGGTTACGGTTTCCTCCTGCTTTCTTCGAACATCGGATAGTCCTATAATATTCTAGTGCAGCTTGTATATCTCTTCTTCCAGCTTCAGAAGCTCGTCAGTTCTCATGTTGCGTGCGTTATACGTTACCAGGTCGAGTCGTCTTAGGTGGCAACCGAACCTCCACTGGAGAATCTTAGCACCCCTTTTCCTGCCGTTACCATGGTCGCCACCATAGCAAGGAATAGCGGGCCGCCGAGGACTGGGGGCCGTTTCTTCGTAACTCTCATTATGGGGGGTATATTGCCATAGTTGCTACGCTTGGCGAGTGGGTTGGCAACCGCAGTTTTTTTGTACAATTGCTGTTGTCACGAAGATGCTGCTGCCTATCTCCTGCCTGTCTCCCTCTGTCGCCTCTTACGACACACACGGGAAGATATGGGGTAGTGGATAATCGTAACCGTCACTAAACGGCTTTTATTCTTTATTGAATTCTTTAAAAAACAAAAAATACAAATTCTCTACCAGTCAACTCATGGAGTGGTGAAAATTTGACACAGGTGTATGTAGCAATATGGAATCTTTGTAATTGTTTTGGATAAAGAATAAATATGTATTGTAATTGTTTGGCAGGCCGGTACCATCGGTGCCCTCGGCGCCGCCGGTGGCGCCACAGCAGACGCCGAACAACCTGCCCAAGGACTTCCAGGACGCGCTGGACATCATCTTCCCGTCCAGCGTGAGCAGCAAGCCGGCGGAGATGCAGCAGCAGGACATGTTCATGCCGGGGCTGGCCGGCTTCCCGGTCGTGCCGCCCTTCGCGCACCTGGGCCTGGTGCAGCCGCCCGTGTCCCCGCTCATGATGGGCTTCGATCTCAACGCGCAGCTGTTCCCGCACCCGCAGCGCCCGCAGCTCTACGACACCCACGTGCCCGTCGTGCCGAACAACCACAAGAGGAATAATAAGGTCAACCAGAAGAATCAAAAGTCCAAACAGGCCGATCCCACTTCGAAGGAGAAGTCGGAGGAGAAACAGGAGGCCAAGCACGAACCCAAGCAGAAGAACAAGGAGGAACTAGACGAACTAGCGATGCTCGGGATAGATGCTTCAGACGTTGGAGCCGGAATGTGAATTGTGTACGATCGAGCATACAATTGTATTTTGCGTGAAAGCATAATTGTTATTATGTCTTTAATTTTAGTTTTATAATCAATTATATTCAAAAGCGATATGATTGTTTGATTTAACTACCAGGCGATAATTAAAGAGCATAGTACATGCACAAAAAAATTTCAAAGATTTAGTTCACTGGAATACATTTCAATGGATTCATTCTGACTTTTTGAATGATGTAGATGTAACTAAAAATTGTTGTATTCCTTGCCATTCATATAAAATAATATTGATTTTTTGTGGAAAACTACATATAATGACCTCAATAATATTATTTTAATATATACTAACAATTTTATATATATACTAACAAAATATTACTGACCAGTTATGTTAAATATAATAAATCAACACAAAAGATAATCGCAGCGTTTAAAACCATTTGTTTAAACGTAGAAATATATTTATCTTAATATTAGTTTTCATGTTAAAGTTACTGCAACTACGTACATTCAAATTAAAATACACAAACCTTTAATAAGAGATATTGTTGTGCCTTGAAACAAAGATGCCAAAAACGATAGTTACAGCTGTTCGTAAAAGATAGATGCCTAAGAGACAATTATTACCGTTTTAATTTAAATCATTCATAACATTAACATAAATCTGTAGCTTGTATTTTGGGTAATAAAATTTTTATTATCTGTCGCAGATTACGATTATAGGCAAAATTATGCTGATGGAGCAGGCTTTATGGGTTTCAGTGAGTAAGGAGTATGGTAAAACATTTGAATAAAACAATTATCGCACTTATGTTTATATGAACTAAAACTGTTTTCATAAACTATTTTTGCCCAGTTATTTGGTGAAATAAAGTTAGTAAGTATATTTTTGTTTTATTTATTTATTTAACTTCATATACATATTAGATGTATATAGGCGGACTTAATGCCTGAGGCACTATCTACCAGTCTACCTTAGAATAGTGCAGAGATAAAAGAGGTAGGTGTAATAAGAAGTATGTACAATATATATATATATATATACATATATATATATATATATACATTAAATATAATATTAAACACGGCTAACTACGAACGCTAAGTTGATTCTGCCATTTTATTGACGAGCAGTTCTCGCACTTTAGATTTGAACGAAATCCGGTTTTCGGCACTCCTGATTTCGGAAGAAAGAGCGTTCCAAAGAAGAACAGATTGAACAAAGAACGATGATTGTACAAAATTAGTACTAAAAGGGGAGCACTGAAGCCAAAGGTTATTACTAGAACGGAGAACTCTATCATGGTTGGAGCTAAGGTATTGAAAATGTGGAGTTAAATAAGATGGAGGATTAGGAGACATCAAGATAGAGTAAAGAGTAGTGAGTGCACGTAGACTACGGCGCTGACGAATGGGTAACCAGTTAAGTTGAGAGCGATAAGTAGACACGTGATCATACTTTCGAAGATTAAAAATGAATCGAATGCAGTTATTAAGAAGACGGTCATATTTGTTCAAGAGTTTTTGTTTTGTTTGTGATTCTGCTAATCAAATAATCAATTACAAGACGATTTATCGATATATAAATTTTAGCAAGCTACAAAAAAGAGGTTTGTAAATCAATTGTTTGCTATTTTTTTCTCTACGTATGTAACGCGATATCTTTGTCAATGGTGAACTAATTTTAAAGATTCTTTTATTAGAGAATTTATCTCAAGGGTACGTTTTATTTATTTATTCCGATGATATCCCGGACGTCAGTCTGAGCGAGATTAGAATGGCTCTCCAGCACCTTAAAAACGGCAAGGCCCCTGGCGAGGATGGAATTACAGCGGAGCTTCTGAAAGCGGGTGGAACACCGGTACTTGAAGTCCTTTAGAGGCTCTTTAATTCCGTCCTCCATGGTGGCACTACTCCCGAGGCGTGGAGCAGAAGTGCGGTGGTATTGTTCTTCAAGAAAGGTGATAACGCTCTCTTGAAAAACTACAGACCGATATCCCTTTTGAGCCGCGTCTACGTGCTGTTTTCAAGAGTCATTACGAATCGTCTCGTACGCAGGCTCGACGACTTCCAGCCTCCCGAACGAGTGGGTTTTCGAAAAGGCTTCAGTACCATAGACCACATACATACCCTTCGGCAAAATTTACAGAAGACCGAAGAGTACAATCTGCCACTTTGCCTGGCGTGGACTATGAGAAAGCCTTTGATTCCGTCGAAATTTGGGCGGTGCTACAGTCTCTTCAGCGGTGCCAAGTTGGTCGGTATATCGAAGTGCTGAATTGTTTGTATGTTAGGGCTACGATGGCTATTCGAGTACAGATACAGAGTACGAAACCTATCCAAATGCAGAGAGGTGTAAGACAGGGTGACGTTATATTCCCGAAACTTCACCGATGCATTGGAAGACGTTTTCAAGCTACTGGGCTGGAATGGATACGGTTTTAACATCAATGGTGAGTACATCACTCACCTTCGATTTGTCGACGATATAGTCCTTATAGCAGAATCGCTGGAGGACCTGAGCACTATGCTCAATGACCTCAATAGTGCCTCCCAAGGGATAGGTCTTAAGATGAACATGGACAAAACAAAGATCATATTTAATGTCCATGTCACACCTATGCCAGTAGTTGTTGGGAGCACTAAGCTCGAAGTTGTTGACGAGTACGTTTACCTGGGAAAAATAGTGCAACTTCGACCGAGAGGTCAATCGACGGATTCAACTCGGCTCGGCAGCGTTCGGGAAATTAAGTGTAACCAGTGCGTGTTGCCAGTGATGACATATGGAACTGAGACGTAGTCCTTAACTGCTGGCCGTATGAGGACGCTCAAAGTCGCTCAGCGAGTTTCTCTGCGTGATAAACTTAGAAATGAGGATATCCGCAGTAGAACCAGTGACCGACATAGCCTAACGGATTAGTAAGCTGAAGTGGCAATGGGCCTTATAGCTCGAAGAACCGACAATCAATGGGGAAAAAAGGTTCTCGAGTGGCAGCCTTATACCGGTAGGCGAAATGTAGGGCGACCCCCCACTAGATAGAGTGACGACCTGGTAAGACATACAGGAAGTCGATGGATGCAGGTGGCTCAGGACCGTGATTTGTGGCATTCCGTGGGGGAGGCCTATATTCAGCAGTGGACTTGTGAAGGGCTGTAATGATGATGATGATGACTTTATATTAAAATTTAAAGAAAAAAATTCAACCCTTTATAGTAACAATGGTTAAATTAAAAAAAATGTATAACTGATTTCAATATAAATAAAATGAGAACATCATCCATGTATTCGAAGTCAATTAAATACACATTATTATGGATCACTCAAAAACTACTGGTCAGATCTTGATGAAATTTATATGGGACCACGCGAGAAGCAGCAACGAGACCAGCAGAAACAACAAAATCGGTTCACCCAGAAAAAGTTCTGAGGTAACACTTAAAAAAACAGTCTAATTGAGCACCTCCTCCTTTTTAAGTCGGTTAAAAATAGGCGACAAAGTTTGAATTTGTGATATTTTTTTTATAGTATATGAGTGATAAACGAGCACACAGTCCACCTGATGGTAAGTGACTGAGGACTAAGATATAATGTCTCCGGTTCTCTACACTCACCATACGAAACACAGCAGCATTTATCTGCTATTTTACGCTGGTATTCTTTGGGAGCGTGGTCCTTCCCCAGTCGAGCCGACCCATTCGTGCTTCAACCATTCGAATATGGCTGCAGCATGGCTCTACCACGTATAAAAATATTCTTTAGTTCACTCAAAGGGAGATGTAAAATAATTCTGCATCTCCCTTTTATTAAGTAATTTCTACATAATAGCATCTGAACTCGGTGGTCTTTAGTATATTGTACATTATCTATGTCGAATGCTTTACTTCTTCGAAACAGCACCGACTTTCAGAAACTGTTATGTTTGTTTCAACTATAAATATTTAACTGTTATTATTATTAAATTTTAAGTTCACTAAGAAGGATTATGAAGGTTTATTAACACGTTGAAGGCCATTATTCCCCCACCGGTTGAATGTATTGGGTCTCTACAAAATTTCATACATTGCCTAGAGGCGTTGAGTCACATCGCAACAATAAATGCATTGTGTGATGTGAGAAGAAGAAGAGAAGCTACTCGTAGTTCGCCTTCCTTCGGGAACCCGTGCATTCTGGTCTCTCGCCAAGGCTGTCCAAGGGAACTTCTGTCAGCCATCTCTTCCACCTCTGCACAGAGAGGACGACTCACTGGCCCATGCCGCAAAAGAGAAAGCTGATCTGTTAGGCTCTCCTTTTGCGTCAAACTTGACTCGATGACGGGGGAAACACCGCCGACCTTCCCGCGGTGTAAGTGCTCCATGTCAGATGTGTGGTTTACACAGCGCTCGGTTCGCAAAGCACTCCTTTCCCTGGACGTCACCAAGTCAAGTGGGTCTGATGAAGTCCCTCCCATTGTGCTGAAGAAGTGTGCTCCGGAGTAAGCACCAATTTTAAAGCGTTTTTTCCGGTACTCCTACTCCAGTCTCGAATTCATGAAATACAGTTTTGGTGCACGCGATCCTTAAAATGGCGATTGCTCGGTCCCGTCAAAATACAGGCCTATCGCCATCACCTCCTTGTTCCCCAAAATAATGAAGTCCATTATAAACTACCAGCTCACGAGGTACCTTAAGCATCACCAGCTGATTAGCGACCGCCAATATGATTTTCGTGATATAGTGGATCTTATGGTCTACCTGACTCAGATGGGTGGAGGCACTAGAGTCCAATAGGGCGGCATTGACCGTTAGTTTGGACATAGCAAAGGCCTTCGATCGGGTCTGGCACAAAGCGTTTCTTTCGAAGCTCCCTTCCTATGGGATTCCCGAGAAATTTTGCAATTGGATCACTAGTTTCCTTGCTGATCGGAGCATAAAGGTCGTAGTAGATGATGCATGCTCTGATTACAAGACTATTAACACTGGTATTCCACAAGGCGTACTATCACCAACGCTGTTTCTTCTGCATATCAATGATATGTT